CTATGCACTTAATGCATGCATATTATTAAAATTTAGGCTGTAATGGTTGTATTGATGTATAGCAACTTGATGGCTAAAAATGGCTCCACAGCATGTAAAAATATAATATAAGCTCTGGCGGACTTGGTTCTATGGTAGGTCTTGCTTTAAAATCTATTTCTTTAATAGATTTTAAAGAAATATCGTATCACACGTTAAAATATCGTATCACATGTTCTAATGTGATTGCTGACATAGCTAAATTTGTTGTTTGCCTGCTGGTGTCTTTTCACCCCTGAATATCATTTTTTAATGGACACTTCAGGTTGGAAGTTAAGCAGCATTTGCTAGACCAGGGTATTTGGTATAAAACAAACAAAAAAAGTTCAAAATAGGGTGTATGGCCAGGTGGCTTCAGGTCATTTCTTCTGTCTGTTAAAGAGGAAAGGGGGTTGACCAGTAGAGGACATGGGCAACAGTATGTGACCCAGTTCCAAAAAGCTCCTATATCATTACAGTCTGTCTGCCCATTTGCACAGTCCGCTGCATTAAGCTCCATTTTAAACCAACTGGCTTTTAGTCAGAGTGCATTATAAATCCCTCCCAACAAGAAGTGTGCATCAATGCAAGCTTTCTTACCACACCTGTTTTGTGACCGATATGGAGGAAGCTACACATGCAAAACAAATAAGCACTATCTTTGGTGTTGAAAAAAGAAACAGATTACAGCCGTGATTTGAATATGAAGGCAGTGTTTTGGATCGTCCTGCATATATTACCAGGGACAGAAATCTGAGCCGTCCTTTTCCTCCTCTATGCTTCTTGAAGAATAAAGGCTGCAAGCTCTTTCATGTATCAGCACAGAAAAAAACCAAACAAACAAAAAAAGAGGTCATGAATGAATGTAATCATAGGTCTGAATATAAGACAAGCGGGAACATTTTGGGAGTGTTGTTTTTAAATGTCTGAATGAAACAGAAGGTTGTTGGGTGCAGTTATAGGCACGTTATTAATGTGTTCATCTGATAACAGTATAAAACAAAGCATCCAAGGATCGCAAAGTTCATGTTTCTGTCTGAGAAAGGCAAAGCTATCTCAAAGCTAAAAGTCCTGTCCCGTAGTTAAGAGAACCTTATTTATCATGAAACAATGCGGTGATCTTTTCTGTGTTAGACAAATGTGTTAACCGCTATGCTATAGACTGGAATTAGGTTGAAGTGTGGTCCATGAACTACAACTTAAATGTTGGTTTACTTGAATAAACAACAGTGATTTGCAGTGTGTTAAAAACATTTTTAAAGTTGTATGGAAACTAATGTTTTGTAAATTGGAGATTAGCTTGTTTTTGTCATCTCAGATGTGTGAGATGTATATTTTTCAAGAAAGAATCCATGCTTCTGTAAATAAGTATACATGTGTGATGTGTGCCACTGTGAATGATAATTCAGAATTGTTTTATATTCTTAGACTTGTATTTACTTTTGATGCAGGTCTGTCCATCGTTTAAAGCATTAGGGGGAAACTAACAGTATTTTAAGGTATTTTGTTCAAAGGTTATTTGAATAAAATACATTAAATGAAGGTTGTAGGTTAGTAAGCAGATGTGTAGTAGTTTGTGTTTAACAATTTAAGTGTCTGAAGTGAGGAAATCAACACATGCAGGCAAAAACGTGATTGACTTCACAGATGTTTCTTTCCAAAACTGACCTTGAATTTATGTAATCATGCATTTGTTATCAGTTATAAGCTAAGCTCATGCAGATGTGTTATAGGAGGAGAAGGAGAGTGAGGATGAGGAAGATGAGGAACAGACTCCAAACCAATCGGCGGCCACAAAAGCCGCTCTGACATTATCCAACAGTAAAGGCAATCATACCTCAAAAGCCAGTTCTGCGTCCATCTTAAGCAAAGCTCAGCCTCCCCATGCCAACAGCTCTCTGAGGTTAGTGAAAAACTGTGATCTGTTCGTGTAAAAGGGCACCGTATTACATCGAAGCATATTCATGTTAGGCTTGTGTCTCTTCCCAGCTCAGAGCAAAAACCTGTTGGAAAGATCATTAAATTCGGGACCAACATAGATCTGTCTGATCCTAAAAGGTAAGATCATGTTAAATTTCCTAATCGAGGATCCACAATGTCTCACATTACCTTCTTCTTTTTTTTGACTTTTTATTTTTTTTCAAGGTGGAAGCCCCAACTGCAGGAGCTGCTGAAGCTGCCAGCTTTCATGCGAGTGGAATCCAGCAACAACATGCTGAGTCACGTCGGTCACACCATCCTGGGCATGAACACTGTCCAGCTTTACATGAAGGTGCCGGGCAGCCGTACACCAGGTAAGTGCGTGTCTTGACTCAGGAGGGTGTTTTTTAATGTTTCAAATGAGGGAAGCTTTTCAAATTAAAAAGACTGCTTGTGTTTCTCATCAGGTCATCAGGAGAACAACAACTTCTGCTCAGTTAACATCAACATTGGGCCCGGTGACTGCGAGTGGTTCGCAGTCCATGAGCACTACTGGGAACTTATTAATAATTTATGTGAAAAGTGAGTTAAGAACTTATTCAGTTGAAACAAAAATGATACAAAAGATGTTACTGTAGCCTGAATTGCTTTGGTCTTTCCTTCAGGCATGGAGTAGACTACCTTACAGGCTCCTGGTGGCCAGTTCTAGAGGATCTCTACAGTTCCAACATCCCTGTGTACCGCTTCATCCAGAGGCCAGGCGACCTGGTGTGGATTAATGCAGGGACTGTGCACTGGGTCCAAGCTGTGGGCTGGTGCAACAACATTGCCTGGAATGTGGGACCGCTCAACTGTGAGTCACAAGGACAAAAATAAAATAAGCCAAAAGCAGCAGCTTCAAACCTCTTTGTCTAAAGTTACTACTTAAATATGCTGTTGCCTTTTTTCAGCCACTGTTTTGTGTTTGTTTTTTTTTTCACTCCTCCAGCATACCAATATCAACTCGCCCTGGAGCGCTTTGAGTGGAACGAGGTGAAGAAGGTTAAGTCAATCGTTCCCATGATCCACGTTTCCTGGAATGTGGCTCGCACAATTAAAATCACAGATCAGGATACCTTCAAGATGATCAAGTAAGATGTGTGTTTGCATCTACAGAATACATGTGTGTATGTGAGGGGGCGTTAGTTTATATCTTTCGCTGTCTTCCCCTCCCTCTCCGTCTCTCTCTCTCAAACACTCAGACACTGCCTGTTGCAGTCCATCAAGCACATCCAGATTCTGAGAGACCAGCTGGTGGCTGCAGGGAAGAAAATCTGTTACCAGAGCCGCGTGAAAGACGAGCCAGCCTACTACTGCAACGAGTGTGATGTGAGTGACTCTTCTGTTGTGTGAAAGAAGTGAAAGCATGATACGAGTCCCGCTTTTAAAAGTCGAGCGCGGCGTTAGTTTATTCAGGCTATGAGGTCGCTCAGCTGACACCCTTTTACACATCCAATTGGCAAATCCATCCTAGAAGATGCTGTTTGTGCTGCTTTAGCTTTCCCTCAGTGCTGCATACCTGCAAGCTGCTTTGTAACCCTCCTCTGCTGTAGCTGCTCCTTTTCATGCTGTTTCTGGCATAAGCGATGTTATATCTGCAGTCGCTGATACCTGCTTTGTCCTGTGTTGGGGCTTTGCTTTGGCTCTCCATATGTCTGTATATAGAACGGTCTGGAAGGTTCCCTTCAACTGCTTGACTAAAGTGGTGCTGACTACACTGTGTTTGTGCAGGTGGAGGTGTTTAACTTGCTGTTTGTGACCAGTGAGAACAGTAGTAAGACGACCTACGTGGTGCACTGTGAGGACTGTGCCAGAGCTAAGAGCCCATTGCTGACAGGAGTAGTGGTGCTGGAACAGTATCGGACAGAGGAGCTGATGAAAATCTATGATGGTTTTGTGCTGGTTAGTATGATTTTATCATCTCTAATTGTCACTTTTTAATCTGGCATCTGGAATGAATTAAATGTCTCTATTCAGACTGTTTTTTGTTTTTGATGGCATCTCTATCATGCATTTGGAGCTGCGGTGCTGTGAACAAGTATTTCCCCCGTTCTTGATTTTTTTTTCACATATTTGTCATAATTACATGTTTCAGATGATAAAAATATGTATTTGACAAAAATAACCCAAGTAAATACAAACTGTAGTTTTTAAATGAGTTCAATTTCATGGACTGTGCGCAGGCCTGCAAGACATGTCTAATCAAGAAACCACTTTAAAAAAGCTGTCTGACAAGGTGGAGTAGGCTAAAAGAACTGAAAAGCAACACATCATTATCATGAAACAACTGAGAAACAAAGTCGCTGAAATCTGTAAGTCTAGAAAGCGTTATAAAGCCATTTCTTAGGCGTTGGGACTCCAGCAAACCACAGTGAAAGCTATTATCCACAAATGGAGAAAACTTTAATGGCCGGCCTACCAAAATTACTCAATAAAGCTTTTAACAACTCATCCAGTGGGTTATAAAAGAACCCAGAACAACATCTAAGGAACCCATTCATGATTCAACAGTAAGAAAGAGACGAAGGCTTATCTCACGTTTGCCAAAAAACATCTTGATGATCCTCAAGAAAATATTCTGTGGACTAACTGGACAAAAGTTGATTTATAATTATTATTATTATTATTTTTTGCATCATGTAACGGTAACAGAGCATGTCATAAAAAGAACATCACACCAGCAGTCAAACATGGGGGTGGATCTGTGATCGTCTGGGGCTGTTTTGCTGCTTCAGGGTCTGAGCGACTTGTCATAATTGGTACAACCATCAGTTCTGTTCTTTACCAGAAAATCCTGAATGAGGATGTCCTGCCGTTAGTTCGTGCCCTGAAATTTAAGCACACTTTGCTTATGCAGCAGGTCAGTGATTCAAAACACATCAGCAAGTCCTCTGAATGGTTCAAAAAAACAGAATTAAGGTTTTTGGAGTGCCCAAAGTCCAGATTTAAATCCCCCAAAACCCTCCAATGTGGCTCACTTAAAACAAATTCTCTAAAGAAGAGTGAGCCACAATTTCTCCACAGCGATGTGAAAGACTCACTTCCAGTTATCACAAATGCTTAATTGCAGTTCTTGCTGCCAAGGGTGACACAATAAGTTACCAGGTTTACTTTTTCACATTTTCACTTGGTAGGTCTAGATAAAATTTGTATTTACTCAGATTATCTTTGTCTAGTATTACAATTTGTTTGATGATCTGAATCGTGTAAGTGTGACAAATATGCAAAAAGCTAAGAAATCAGGAAGGGGTCAAATACTTTTTCATGGTATTGTTTTAGCGAAATTACCTTTCTACGTTTTCTTTTTAACAGACTGAGCTAGCAAATTTGTGAAGTTCACAACCAAAAAAGAAAATCAGAATTTCCCTGTAACTTTTATTTTTTTCCAAACAGCTACATTGCTTCACTTTACAAGGTGATGTCATCTTGCTTCCAAATCATGTATTTGTCATTTCAACAGAGAATAGTCATCATTCTCAAAAAGCACACTGGGTTGGATGAAGTGCTGTTTACTGGTGGCTGATGTGACGCTATTATGTTAATCCAGCCTTTAGAGTTTCTCCCTTTAGAAATGTGTGAATGAAGTCATAGAGAGAGTTTATTTCTCTCAATTTCTCTTTTTTTTGTTTTTTATCGGGTTTGGTTAACCTTCCCTAGAACTGCTCTCATCTGCCATTATACATATCAAATAAGTCATGTGTTATTTGACTAAAATTGATATTACTTTTGGCCATTTTGTAAAATTGGGGTTCACATTATGATTTCTTGCTGCAGTAAGGGAGTCTACTAGGTTCCCTGTCCTGGTGCTTTTAAATAAACAACATCCTTATTGGCGCATACTTGCAGATACTACTTGTCTGCTTTGAAAAATAGTCACAGTAATGCAATGAGTATTTGATAACAGCTCTTTCCAAACCCCCAGCTGAACTGTCTCTCTTCCTCTTTTTTTTCTCCCCTCCTCCTTCAGACTCCAACTCCCTTCTCAAAGTGAGGACTCCTCCACAGTGTCTTTCAGCCATAACCAAAACTCTAATGGCAGCACAAATGTTGCCTTCAAGGCAATCTGTTCCTGCAAACACTGTCTCAATCAGCCAATCACGTTTACTCAGTATTGTTTACATCACACTGTAAGGTATGGATACTCAGCCAGTCCAACTATATAGCTCACCGTCTTCCCCATACCAGCTGCTGATTGGACATGTGTTTTGAAATAGAATGACTAGACTGGTACTTTTCACAAGAAGCATTTTAGATAAGGACAGGAGAAAAAAAAAACACAATGTGAGCACTGCTAGCACTGAAAATCAGGTGATGTATTTTCAACGGACACTGCTGTGATTCAAAAGCGTCAAGTAGCCAGTTCTGTGTATTGATTCAGGTACTTTTATGCAAATTCAGTAGAACTTTTTTACACCAATCTAGTTATTCTATGTGTCCATGAATTTGCTGTGATTCTAATGTACCAGCAGGGGAAACGCTTCACAAGAGAAGTAGCTGATTGTCACATTTGGCATCGTACTGGTTTCTGTTTCTGTTTATTTGTTGTTGGGGTTTTTTGTTTTTTTTCATATTCAGGTAAAAGCTCTGACATTTGTAACTCCTGTCTGTAAACTCTCTGAGGTGCTATTCCAATCTTATTTATGCTCGTTAGATGCTTAAAAAAAAGTTTTACCAGCCTAGAAGTACACCACATTGGCCTTGTGAACTTTAGAGGAGAGATAATTAGAAGATTAAACACACACACAAAGGTTTTATGTAAGCATTAAAAAGAAAAAAACACAAATTTTTATCAGTGTCTCAAAAATACGGGTTTAGCAGAGGACTAAAACAGTTTTGTTCTTATTTGAAAATTAAGTGTGCAGAAAGAAAAATGAACTTTTTTGATTTGTTTTTGGCTTCTTCACAGGTCTAAATGGTGTTAGGTGTGGTTCTATGACACATGGAGGAAAAAAGGCATTGTGATGTCTTTTTCTTTTCTCTTTTTTTATTATTGGAATGGGCAAACAGTCCCAGTTTTATACCTCTTTTGTTTCAATATTCTTGTTTCTAGATGACAGAGAAGATAAATAATTGTAAATTGTGAATAAATTTATGGGATACGCAGTGGTGTGCATAGATGGGGTGCGAGAGAGCAGGGGTCGCCGTTCGGGTTTATGTCAGTGAAGTGCTCGTGAAGTGAAACGTCCGGAGGGACACACAATCATGTTATAATGCAAAAACCAGTGAGGTCAGACTGCAGGCCGCGTGAGTATCGTCGGTCCTGAAGGGTCCAGCTCGGTGCGCTGCTGCTCAGAAGTTTGGGTTGGTTTCGGAAGATTTTTTGTTTCTGAAATAGAAGCATATTTGGTTTTTGTCTAATGAGGCATAGTGCTGATCAGACGTGTCACATGCTACAAAACAATTTCTGATTAATGGACAAAGTCGTCATTGCTTCGAAGAGAACCATCACTTCTGTGTTCTGCGGTGTTTCCTGTTACAGCTTTAGTTATGTGCTAAAAGGCTATGTGGTCGTCAGAAGAGTGTTTTTGTAAATTAAATGAGTACATGTGAAAATGTTTTTTGAAGTAACGGAAGCAGTAAATTTGGCTAGTTCAGTTGGAGCCAAAAAGAAATTGACAAACTAGTTTTAATCAGAATGGAAAGAGATTTTGGAGAGGCTGGTGCACAGCTGAGGAAGAGGAAAAGTCCATCACTGACTAAAGACTGGTTTGAGAAACAGGTACCTCACAGGTCCTCACCTGGCATCTTCAGTGAACAGCAGCTACATAACGTCCGTCTCAGTGTCGGCAGTGAAGAGGTGACTCCAGGATTCTGGCCTTCAAGCAAAGTTGTGAGGAAAGAGCCATATTTTGCTGTTCAGTCTTCTGCCCGTCTTGTGGCTTTTTTCCTTTGTGACACTGCTTAGACGCCTCTTTACTGCAGATGTTCAGACAGGCATTTTATGGGCGCCGTTGAAGCTGCCAGAGAAGACGCCATGTGGCATCTATTTTTCAAACTGGAGACTCAGATGTACTTGGATACTTTATTAGCTGCACACAAGGACCTCCGACTTTTCTTGGTTATAAGCAGATTGTGCTGGTTCAGAGAAAGCTATCATATACGCTGTTTTATTAAATATTATTTAGAACATAATCCTTCTTGATGAAGCAGCTGCAATCAGTCAAACAAAGGCCAATGCTGCAGCTTCCGAGCATGATCACTTAGCCTTTTAACTTAACGAACTTGTATTAGGTAACAGTGTACCGCTGGAACACACGCTGCTTCCTGAAAACAGCCCTCCATTAAAATAGTTACTAATGATGTATAGTTAACGATTCCGGTGGTCACTGATCATCATTTACAATTTGTCTAATTTAAACTAATAATTATTAAGTAATTTCAATTTTTTTCCAAAAACAAATTATTTTTTTATTCTAAAAAAAAAAAGTGCACCAAAACTTTTGAACAGTATTGCATGTTCAAGAGCGTCTGAATGTAAATATGTCAGGAAAGACCCAGATTTCTTTGTTTAACAGCACATCAAATGATTTTTGTTGTCATTAATTAATTTTATTGCTTATATTAGTAATGGTGCATTTATTGTTCATATGACCTTCTTTTATTTTGCGTTCACTTTTACTTGGGTACAAAATGTGCCAAAGTTGATGTAGCTTCACATGTTGAGATTTTAAGTCACATATTAATGCAATCTATGATGATGATGTTTTTTGTTTATGAACACAACTAATTTTGTCAAAGACACTTTTTTTAAAAATTCTAAGCTACAAGCTAAAAATCTCACGCGTGCTCTGTAATGTAGTGTGACGCTGGGAGGCTGGTTGCCATGCTGTATGCGCCTAGCGCTGCTTCAAAGTACATTCAGCAGCTTTTCTTCCTGCCGTTGTCTTTAGCGCTCGCTCCAGAGGCTCGGGTCTGTTTTTGAATTTGGATGGCGGTTCAACCTCACTGTCGTATAACCATTATAATAGAATGCCCACGAATGACATCTTCCACATCATACCTCTGCCCCTCATTAGTCTGTGCACACCATTCAATGTACATAATGTATCTGTTTTCAGGTTTGCTAGAAGACTGTAGATTTGTTCTCAATCAGAAATTTTAACTCGTCTTTGGTCGGACTTGTCCACCTTAGTCATTTGTTTCTGTTGTTGCTATATTAAAACACACCCTAAAAATATCTTGTTTCACTGTAGTTTAAATAACTGCAATGGGAAACCTTTCCCGCTTTTATACCTCTTTTTTTTTTTTGTCAGTTTCGTTTTTTTGGATCACAGAGAAAATGGAAAATTGTAAATTGTGACATTATTTATACTGTACATTGTCGTTTTCGTATATATTTATTGCATATCAAAGGATACGTCACTTGACAAGGGGCTACAAGGTATTTTAAAAATGTAGTATGGTCATAATGTGTTGATAGGGGAAGTGCAATCAGGGGGGTGGTTTAATTTTCATGGTGCTAGACCCCTCCTTGCCTCAGTGCCCCCTCATTAAACAGCATATAATGATATATGAACATAAGTCAGTGATACAACTCAAACCAACCATTTGGTGCTCAGAACCATTTCAACACAGTTTACTGGTAACAGAAATGGAATGATGTCTTTGTACTGTATCTAACAGATAAATACGAGATCTTTTTTAACATTTTTTTTCCATTGTATGAAATTCATAATCTTGTGAGGCATTAGTGATTTTATGATGAGCATTAGCAGTAGTTGTAACTCTTGACACTTTTGCAGAGACTTTTAGGGATGTGACTTTTAATGGCGTCGAGGTTTTTCGTGTCTTGTCTTCATTATTGGGATTATTTGGAGAGGTGTAATAATGCTTCTTTTTTTTCCCCCTCTTGACTTGTTTGATTTATGCTGCACTTACTGTTTGAAAAAGAACTCACATAGAAGAAGAAACCTGAGCCAGACCTGTCTTAAATCCCTCTGTGATTTTTCTGTGACATATTGTATGGTTGTTCAAGAAAATAAAATGTTTTGATAAATTATCCCACAATGATTTTTTCCGACGTTTCATTTCTTTTTTGGAGTCCCATCGAGTACCTTCTTCAGTCTTAACTGGCTAACCCTCTCTGCTCTCTTTGAGATTAGCTCAATATGAGCGGATGTCTTTTACCTGATGGATAAGCTACAGTGTCTATTTGCATTCTATGAGAAAATCTTAAAAAGAGCTTTGCCCGCCCACAGTTGTAGATGGCTCGGCAAGCTGCTTTGCAACCCAACTCCATTCTAGTGTGGAGGTGCAGAAGTTTATAAGCAACTGCATAAACATTTAAAAACACGACTTATTTTATATAGCAGCGTTTTCTAAGAAAGTGAGACTGAACTGCAACTTGCTTCTGTCTGAATCTTTTATTAATTTGAATAAAAATTAGTTTTACAGGAGAATAAAACCTCATGTTATTGGTGATGCAATTCCCCCTTTTTTTTCTAGAACCAGTACATCAAAATTTCAATTTTCTAATAATTCAAATAATCTCACTATGCACCATCCATTATCCATTAATTACTAAATTCCACTATCATTCCTGTCAAACTCAGTATTAATTCAAAAGTGTTAGCCATCAAGCCAAACTAACAAATACTGAAACAAAGGATAATATTTTTTATTTTCATTTTAGTTTTCCAAGTTCACAAAATTGTTTCACTTTTGAAGGCATATCTGTGCAACAATGAGGTCTTGTGGTCCTGAAGGATCTGATCCAGCGTTTAAATGTGCCAGCTGCACTTCTGTCAGTCTGCTTATGGCCACTGAGTGGCTCCACTGGACACTGTGCTTCCCTCAGAGTTGATGCTGAGGGAGGCGAGCACACAGCTCGTTTATTTTTCCCTCCAACACTTTCCTGATACCATCTTGTCAAAGCTACAAGCTGCAGCTGCTCTCGAGTTCAGCAGGAAAGTAATTCAAATGTAGCAATAAGTCAACTAAGTCATACAGTAAAACAATGACGTCAGTGCCTAAAGTGATCAAAAGAAGTAACGCTACATATTACTTATACAATGATAACGAACCAAAATAATATAACAGATGTAGACTTACATGAAACTGTTTGAAAACAGGCGCCACATGCAATGAGAGTGTCATTCTTTCTGTCTCACGGGTATGAGATTGCCAGACCTGTGCACATCACAGTGTCGAGCGTGGACACAGCAGCGGATATCCCGGATCCAAGGACAGGAAGACTGGTCTTCCTCTACCAGCCCTCTCATACACTCACATGCACATGCAAACAACACACACTGTGGCACTGCTAATGGCAAAAACACTGGTTGACCCCCGTCACCTTCTCTGTTCCCCATCCCCTCTTTCTTTTTTTAACCCACAGATTAAACGCCAAGAGTTCTTTGATCAGTCGTCTCTTTGTACCAGCCATTAAAATACTCTCATTCTCTTTGGGGAATTTATAGATCTGCCCCTTGTTAAAAAAAATAAAATAAACAAAGATGTCTACAGTGAGCTTTGTTAAAAAGATAATAAAATTAGACTTCACATCAAAATACTAATTTCACCCTTTGATCTGAGCCCCTCTGGCTTCTTATCAGTCCCATGATAGCCTCTTTCCCCACCTCTAAATTAGCAAGTGTTCCCCCGCTTCCTCATTTCGTTATGTTTTCTGTAAGAGCAGATCTGTTTTTCATCACAGGGTCAAAGGCCAAACCCCTGTCACTCCCGCACTGGGAAGAAACCTTATGTAAGTCTGTCTGTGCCTTTAACATCTTACTTCAGGCTATATTGCCAAGTGGTTGAATTGAGCTCTCAGTGAAAATGTAAATATAGCAAGTCTGCATCAAGTCTTCTGTCAGACTCTCAGTTTGACTTCTAACAGAATGGGTTTATAATTTTTTTTTTCTTTTGGTATGAAAATTGATATGAAATGAGCTGTTTTGGATTTTGAACCTTATCGGGACTTGACAGTGAAGAAAAAGCTCAGTGAAGGTGTAATGTGTTGCAGACCGGGCTACATATAACTCCTCTAATCCATCCAAATAAACACTCTTCCTCCCTCCCCCTTCCTCTCAGGGGTTATCATATATAAACCCCTCCACTGCACCTCTGCCCAACAAACCTAACATCAGCCTTTAGCACAGCATTCGAGGCAACACAGGATACAGGCTCACTGGCTGAGATCTCAAAACTGGAGTCAGAGTGAAAATCTTAAAAAGGGAAGGAAAAGCATGTCAGGGAAGGAAGCGCTGAAGCCAGTAGGAAAGCACAATTTGCCACCAGCCTGTAGAGCTTTTTTCTGCCCGCCTCTGTGACATCTCTAAAGACCAAACTGCTGACAGATTCCTGATTCGTCTTCTTCTTCTTATTATTATTATTATTATTAGTTTGTATAATTAACCCTGAGCACTGAAGAAGACTTAGCCGAGAGGTAGAAACTCCACCTCTACTTGGATATACGTTCGAAATCTGGATTTTTAGTTGGAGAAGACGCACATCAGGAGGAAATTCTTGAAATTCTCTTCATCTGCTGCTGCCACTACTGAGCTGCACCGGGGAAGGTCATCAGGTTTATAACGCAAGTAAGTATGACAGGATCCATCCTTTACTTTTGCTTTTCTTTCTTTTTTCTTTTTTTCAAAAATAAAAACATGCTGGAACAGAACAGCTCATTTTATTTGAATGTGTACACACTAAATCAGTGCCATTCAGTAGGGTTCATTTTGATCTGGAAGCAAACAGCCTATTTTCTCCGATGTCTCCAAAAGGCCATCCCAGATCGAAGGAAAGATTTACCTGTTAAAAGTGTTGTGTAAGCCTTTGATATGTTTTTTTAATACTCAAAAAGCCCTTTTAATCTATGTGATAGTTGTTACTCAAGTTGTACTCTTTGACTTCCATATAATGCACAATAATCTAGTTTTAGAAGAGATCTTTTTTTAATGATCTTAACACCTAACTGGACAGTCGATTGGAGGGTGAGGTTGAAATGCCAAAGTTACAGATTTCACACTAGTGAATACCAGCAGCTGTCAGTGCAGCACAGATCAGAGGGAAGTAGTGTTAGTGCTCCTCTTTATCGCATGGAAACACTTGAATGAATTGAAATGTAGGAATTAAAAGCTCATGCCCAGCATTTCATGAATAAAATTGTTCTGACACTTCGGTGAGTAGTGGAATTTTTTCAAACTTTTCCAGATGCTCCTGGCTCATTGTTTTGGGAGGGGGTCGGAGGTGGAGTCAGGGAAGTTAATTTCCTTGCACTTACAACTGTGCGGTTATCTCATGGTGACTTTCCATATCTTTTGCCACAATATTTCAGGGACCTATTGCATAAAATGGTTTAACATTCTGTAACTTTCCATCTTTGTAGCGGTCAGACTGAATCAGAATCAGAGCATGCAGGGAGAGGGAAGGTTTTTAACAGACAATCAAAGACAAGTAGAGACCCAAGATGAGATCGATAACGCCGGGATTAAAACAAAGTCATGCTGATCCAGGTTGTTTTGTGGATTGTCTAGCTGCGTGAATGACTCGTGTGTGTGGTTTTTTTATGCAGAACAGACCACAAAGAAGATGAGCCTCTCACGGACCGGGACGCTGGAGAAGACGATGTCTGAGCAAGCCCGCTCCGAAGCACGGTTCTCCTCCAGATCGGGGTCAGGGGTCGTGGTGCCGCCTCCTTACTCTCACAGAGGGAGCGAAGCCGCTGACCCCCCTGTGGAGTTGAGGGGCTCTCTGGACTGCTGGGCGTGCTCCGTGCTGGTCACTGCACAGAATATGATCATCGCTCTGATCAATTTCAGTCTGGCCAGCATCTTGTTCGGCATCATCCTCACCCCTGCGCTGACCATGATTGTATTCGGCTTTCTCTGCCACTCCACAGTAAATATATATATATATATTTATATAATTATCTTTGATTTAGTGAAAGAAAATGCTGTTTTAAAAGATCAAAAGAAAGGGGTTAAAACTAGATTCTGCTGGTAATCACAGTTTATGAAACCAACCAATGGAGTTGCACTTCTTGATGTCGATTTTTAATCAAACTCTTATGTTGGAATGCCAAAGAAAAGAAAGGAATTCCTTTCTTTCCGGAGATTTGACGCTGTTTTCTCAGCTGTTTCTGGAGCCTCCCAGAGCTCATTTACTAAGCTGCTCTATGTCACTGTGAGACTTAGGCCCTCACAAACAGCACACTGCATGCTGACCGTGTTGTACATCACTAGTGTGAGCACCTTAAATACACAAACACTTCTTAGAGTTAGTGCTGATGATGGTTTGGTGTGAATGGCCTCTGTGACCCTTCATCCCTTCTCCTTCAGGTGCAGCCCCATGGAACATCGCTGTACTGTTCAGACCTGCTGGACGACACAGCCTGCGTAGCCCTGCTGGTGGTGGGCTTTCTGCTTCTCACCCCTCTGCTGGTCTTGGCGCTGGCGGCTTACTGCCGTCTGGCCCGACACCTCCAGCTGGGCCTGTGCTTCATCCCCTACAGCCGGGCTGTGTACAAGAACCTGCCCAACCAACGCAATCAGAAGCAAGGTCCGGGGAGCTGCTTTAGTCAACAGGATGCAATGGAGAGACAGGGGAAGGGTAGCATCTGGGTGTAGATGAGAGGAGTGGAGGGGAGGATTGTATATGGTTATATTATCAAGTTTCCTGCTTTATAACGAAATCTACTTTTATATGTCCTTTTTCTGTAGCCACTGTAAAAATCCATCACATTTAATCATTCATATTCATTGTTTAAGAGTCTTTTTGAATTATTTTCAATGTATTTAATTTCTTTTCTTTTATACAGTAAAGTTTTTTTTTTAAAAAATAAAGTGTCACTCAGCTTTTTTTTTTTTTTACACAGAAAAAAACCTGCCCCTGATAGCTCAGTTAACTCAGTGACATATACTTTTGGCCAGATGCAGGAAAAACTCATGACATGAGCTACATAAAATATAGTATGGGCCAGATGTGGCTCAAAGGGTATGACCTGAGACTGACTTAGGATACGGCAAGTGTCTGGGGTCATAAGGTAGACCTGTGGCT